AGGTGTCCACCTTGCACATGCTGGAGAGACTGTGCGAGCAGCAGCAGGCGATAGTGGAGTTTCAGCTGCAGCATGCACGGGTCAGTCGCTCTGCGGAACAGCACCACTTCACCACCAATGAGTGTGCCTGCATGCAAGACCTGTGTGCCATGTTGCACTGTTTCGAGTACTCCACCAACATGGCCAGTGCCGATAACGCCGTTCTCAGCCCTACTATCCCGCTTCTATGTCTCCTTGAAAAAACACTTTATGCGATGATGGAAGAGGATGTGGCACAGGAGGAAGAGGAGGAGGAAGAGGGGCATTTCCACGTTTATCAGGCCAGTCATTCACAAGTGGCTCAGAGGGTGGGTTCCTGCACAAGCATAGGCCAGGTACATAATTGTCCAGCATCTCCACACTGTCCAATGGAAGCGTTCAGCTGTCCATCTCCCAAACACTGGAGAGAATGAGGAAGTACTCCCCTACCCACCCGTGATCCCCGGCCCTGAATGCCACATTTCAAAATTCCTGGCCTTTGAAATGCTGTCATTCCGTCTGGTGGAGACAGTTTTCGGACAGTTTTAAAAACCTGATGGCATTATTGGAATGTAAGAAATGCACCGCAGGCCACAAACGTTTCTTTTTTTATATGTCCCAATATTTTGGGGGCTACCTCAATAAAAAAAAAACAAAAAAAAAACACACAAATAAAAACACCTCCTCCACCTCCACTTCCGCTTCCACATACACCACCACGGTCACCGCCTCCTCAACCTCCTACTCCACATCCACCTCCTCCTCCTAGAGCAGGGTGCAAAAGCGGAGCAGCCATCCCTGAGACAGTACGCCTGCTATTGCCCACTGCACCCAGGCACCGAGCACACCAAAGCCAGCTCCAAGGAGTTCCCTGGCATGGCAGTTATTCAGACAATGTGCTGATGACAAGACACGAGTGGTTTGCACGCTGAGCAATCAGAGCCTGAAGCGAGGCATAAACGTTCTAAACCTGAGCACAACCTGCATGACCAGGCATCTACATGCAAAGCACAAGCTGCAGTGGAGTAAGCACCTCAAAAACCAAGAAAGGTCTCAAGCTCCTCCTGCTTCCTCTTCTGCTGCTGTCTCGGCCTCTTCCTCCACCTCTGAATTGACAGTGGCACCTGCCACCCCGCAAACAGAGGATGTGGCAGCAATTCCACCACGTTCGCCACCATCCCCAAGCATCTCCACACTGTCCCATGGAAGCGTTCAGCTGTCCATCTCCTAAACACTGGAAAGAAAGAGGAAGTACCCACCTGCGATCGCTGGCTCTGAATGCCAGCATTTCAAAATTCCTGGCCTTTGAAATGCTGTCATTCCGTCTGGTGGAGACGGACAGTTTTAAAAACCTGATGGCTTTATTGGACTACAAGAAATGCACCACAGGCCGCAAATGTTTCTTTTTTTATGTCAAATATTTTGGGGGCTACCCCAATTAAAAAAAAAAAATAGTGTTGGCTAACTCCTCCACCGCCGCTTTCACCTACACCGCCACGGTCACCGCCTCCTCAACCTATTGGTCACTTAGTATAATCTATGTACATAATAGCAGAGGCTTGTGAAGGCCTTTTCTCCATGCATCAGGAGTTGAGCTCAGTTTGAACAATGAAAGAGAATACCCTGCATTCCAACCCTCTCTCAAATGGATAATTCTGTTGATCCTCCTGACAGTCATGCTTTAGATTTTGATTTATGTTTTTCCAAAGCTAAAATCAAAGATTCCATCTAGTGCTTTTTTATGGCTCAGCTGTATTTTAATTTTTTATGTATTTTATGTTATTTTAAGTGATTTCCCTGTCCACATTTGTTTGCAAGGCACTTGTCCTACTCTTACCTCCATTTTACTTCCTTTTGCAGCCCTAGAGCCCTTTCCAGTACTTTTTTAGAGGCATTTTAGTGCCCAAAAGTTCGGGTCCCCATTGATTTCAATGGGGTTCGGGTCAAGTTCGAGCCCAAACTCAAACTTTTTTACGAAGTGCGGCCGAACTCGGTGAACCTGATCATCCGGGTGTCCGCTCAACTCTAGTCAGGAGTGTTGTCAGTGCCACTTTACCTTTGTTTATAATGCACCCAGATTTACATATATTTTAATAATTAGATCATTCTCATTATAACAAATTGCTATCATGCCTTGCTCTTATTACATCAGCTATAGCTTTCAATAGGCACATTCTATACAAGATAAGTAAACTGCTGAGACAATTATCTTGAGAGAAGTTCATTAAAAAAATGCTATTATCCACATCTTGCCATTCCATAATGTATTACAAGCTTCACATATCATGATACGCTATGCAGTGGATTTAAAATAAACTTTAGGCTCACATTCGAGAGTTGGAGCAATTCAGTCTGGTCCTTTGTGTCTCTTAAAAATCAAACAAAAGTTCTGCTTCAGTTACTTTATTCTTTCAGCATGCTACAGTCAGATTCAACTAACTCCAGAGACATACAAATATTTTACCTGCAGCTTTGCAGAATACAGAGCAATTCCTTAAACATTAATCTCTGCAGCCTGTATGGTATTGTCAAAATTACTTTTATTTTTTTGACAACTAATGACTGTCAATGGAATTTGCTTTTCATTTAGACTTCTTCAAACATAATTTGAATAACTTTACAGACATAATTTTGCAACCGAATGAGTATACGTCACATTTATATTGATAAAGTTGTCAGGGTTAAGAGTACGTATCTCAGTGGTACAATTTATTGTGTTTTTATTGTTTTTATTGATAAAAATTTATTTTATTGAAAATGCATTGCATTTTGGCATCTATAATTAAGTTTAAAATAAATGCGACTTGCCATTTTTTTTTATTGTACTTTGCACCAGCAGATGCAGGAGTTAGAAATAGAGTGCATATCTTAATCTTAAACCAGTCAGGACCTTGGTAGCTCTATATTGGAAACAAAAATTACTGAACCCTACAAAAATAACAAAACAGAATTCATGAAAGAGGTAACATAGGATTGAACGTCAAATATTGATAGAAAATGTGCCTAATATAAAAAAGTTGTCTGAATCTACAGCATGAATCTAATACATCCAAACATTAATACTAGAACATAAGACAGATGTGTTTCTCTGTCTTGCATGTAATACATGTTTTGTGAATTAAAGTATTGTCTCTATTTTTCGATCATCCTCAGTACACCAGAGCCTCTTGTAGAACATTTTGATTGATACATGGAAGAAAAAGAATAGAAATTTCTTCAAATCTACAGGGTCTAAAAACTTTCCCTTACTTTTTAGAGATTAAGTGATGGTCATTATCAATACTTGGTTTCTTTCCTTTAGTGTTAATTTTATTGTTTTTTTTTAATAATTAGCAGTTTGATGACATGCTCTATGAGTTTGTGATGATTAACGTTGCAATATATTTGCACGACGCATTACAATTTACTGTTATTTTTCTTACATTATGGTTGCATGATTAATGCATGCTGTTCTTTATTAGAAACACTTGTTGATCAATATTTATAGCTACATAGTTACATAGCTGAAAAGAGACATGCATCCATCAAGTTCAGGCTTTCCCACATTTGTTTTGCTATTGATCCAAAAAAAGAAAAAAAAAACAGTTTGAAGCAGATATCCTTCTTGACCCATGAATGGCAGTCAGAAATCTCCATGGATCAAGAAGCTATTACCCCACTAATTGAAAATTATATCCCTAAATATTATGTTTTTGAAAGAATGTATCCAATTGCTGTTTAAATACCTCTATAGACTCTGATAAAATCACTTCTTCAGGCAGAGAATTCCACATCCTTATTGTTCTCACTGTAAAAAACCTTTTCCGTTGTCTTAGACTAAATCTCCTTTTTTCCTGACCTTGTGTGTTTTGTATAGTCCTGTTTATGAATAGATTTCCAGACAATGGTTTGTATTGGCCCCGAATATAGTTGTATAATGCCATTATATTCCCTCTGAGGTGGCATTTTTTTCAAACTAAAGAGATTTAAATTTTTTAGCCTTTGTTCATAAATAAAATGTTATTTTTTTATTCATTTTGTAGCCCACCTCCGTGCTTTTCCTAGTGCTGTAATATCGTTCTTTAGAATAGGTGCCCAAAATTGCACAGCATATTCAAGGTGTTGTCTTAACATTGATTTATAAAGAGGCAACATTGTATTTTCATCCTGAGAATTAATGCCTCTATTTATACAATACCTTACTAAGTTTAACAACTGACAATTGACATTGTGCCTAATCTGATGTCTATGACAATTCCCAAATCTTATTTGTGTGTTATCCTTAATTCACTACCATTTAGGGTGTTAGTTGATTTGCATTCTTTACTTCTACATTCAATTTCATCTGCCACTTGAGATCCCAATCCCCAAATCTATCCAAAAATATCCTGCTCATATTGGGTTACTTTACACAGTTTTGTGTCATCTGCACACACTTAAGAATGGTTTTCAATTCCTATTTCAAGATCATTTATAAATATGTTAAACAGAAGCGTTTCCAGAACAGAACCCTGAGGGACACCACTTACCACTTTTGTCCAGCTTGAAAATGTACCATTAATAGCAACTCTCTGTACTGTATATCTTTAAGCCAATATTCTTCCCAAGAACAAGAATTTTATAATTTCTGTACTGAAGTAATATATTAGGGTAATTTTACTCTCTTTTGCTAGCACTTTCTCAGTATTTAGTTTAGCCACTCTATTGCATTTTTGGCATTCTTATATCTTATATGTTTACTTTCCCACAAAGCCACATTGGTTTCAAATTGTTTCTCTTATATTTATTACCCAATAGTACATACTGAGAAATGTACCTATCTAATCTTTGTTTGAAGCTATTCCATTTATCCTCAGTGGTTTTGGACTAAGTAGTTTATGCTAATCAATATGTTGTAAAATGTTCTTATCGTATTGAAACTGGCCTTTTTAACCCCTTAAGGACCACACTTCCGGAATAAAAGGGAATCATGACATGTCACACATGTCATGTGTCCTTAAGGGGTTAAACTCAAAAAGGCAAAAACACATGGGTAATTCTAAAACCCATGTGCTTTTGCCGTTTTGAGTTTATTTCAAAAGACACCATATTTTAATCACTATTTCCCATGTGCAAAAGTTAAACATTGTTTGTTATTACAGATCCAGACATGCATCCTTTATAGTGGATGCGTATACCAGTTGTGACATGAAGGTGTCATTTAGCATGTTAAAAAAACATGATTCCCTTTGCTGAACTTCTAGTCCCTCTATCTGAATTTATGTCCGGGTAATTAATATCTCCAATAAGTAATATGTTAGCCAGATGTGCAGCTTTCCCAATTTGCTCTAACAGTAGTTCTTCCTCATCAATATTAACATTAGGTGGTTTTAATATATGCCTAGAAATAATTGATTTCCCTTATTTTGCCCTAAGCAGATATCTACCCAAAAGCTTCCACATTTTCCTTGTCTTATTCCACATGTTTAAGATTTGACTTTAACCCATGGTTGACATACAAAAATACCCCTTCACCATTCAAGTTTTTTCTATTTTCCTAAATAATGTGTAACTATTTAAGGTAACTTCCCAGTAATGTGTCTGATCCACCATGTTTCTGGTATGTCTATTATGTCATATTACTTATAGTATATGCTATTGCCTCTAGTTCCCTAATTATGCTATTACCTCAAGTTCCCCCATTTTGTTAGTAAGGCTCCTTGCATTAGTAAGTATATATTTAATATTATCATGAATCACATCTACGTTATGTGAATTTTTATTACTATTACATACCTTCTCCTATCCCTACCCCCTGTGCTGAGATCAAGACCATCTCATTTCTGTCCTGTCTTCATTTTGTAGATTTATATGCCCATCCCCCCACCACTAGTTAAAAATCTCCTCCAACCATCTAGCCACCCTGTTCCCCAGCACATCTCTTACACTTTCCTCCACTCTAAGTGTAGAAGGGGGAAAGATAATAAAAGTTAATGACAACCTCATGAATGGCCATCCCCATCCACTTGAGCAGTAGATCAGCCATTTAGCATAATTTATGTTCAAGATTAAAATCAGGGGGTGCTGAGTATCTCTCATCCTTTGGAGCAGCAGGTTAAAGGGTGATATAATGATGGTGCTAATAGCAATCTACACTGCATAATTATGTCAGAATCAATGGAAGTTCATTATCTCATCCTAATACCTATTTTTTCCTACAATGTTTTTTTTTTACAGTGAATTGAAATAGGGAAAGGCCCACTAGTCACTTTCCCTCTAGATTCCTCTACATCCCCTCTACATTCCTTCTACAGATACAGAATGTGTTTTTCTGCAGGGTGAAAAGCAACAATGGAGCCATGGGAAAGGTACACTGATTTCTTATTAGTTTTATATATTTTTGAGTGCTTTGCATATATTTATACATTGGCAGGGATTAGTTTAATTCAAATTTTTCATATGTAATGATAAAATGTGTGTTGACAATTGAAAAAGTATATTAATACATTTTTAAGTCTAAAATGTCCGATGTACAAGCATTGTACATAAACCTTGTTCTAGAAATAAAAAAAAAAAAATCTACTCCTGATTTGAATACTTTTTATTCATAACTCTGCTCAAAGCTTATGCAGATTGTTTGACATTACATGCACTTTAATTCATTTTTATCTCTGGTGTATTCCAAGGAGAAACTAATAAGACAAATCTCACAATATAATTAAACCTTAACCATGCACAGGGCAAAGTCCAAGAGTAAATGATTGCACTTAAGCATATTAAAAGATCTGATCAAAATGTTCTGGAACTTTGCAAAGTTATTTGACTGTTATTTTAAATTGTCTTTTTAGCTGGAGATGTTCTGGAGTAAATGTAGTAAAATATGACATTTATAAAGCGATCACATCCAGAATCTGGAAAATATGGATCCTTAACCCCTTAAGGACCAATAATGGCATCATTCCACTACACTCTAGTCCTATATCAAATTCAAATTTGCCATTCATTTAGTGATATCAGGCCTCTTAAATAAACGGAAGTTAAGGAGACTCTAGAATCACCCAGACTGCCCTATTGAACACTGCTTTGAAGACCCCTTTGAAAAGCATTGATTTAATGCTTTCCTATGGGTAGGTTGGAATGCACATTTTTCTGCAATATGTCCCCAATACTGCTCCATGAAGAGCATTTGATTGTACATTGCAGGAGGCAGTGCTGGAAAAAGCCTTGGTGCTGGAAAAAGGTAGTAAAATCTTCTTTTTATTATTATTATTTTAATGCACATAGTGGGAGGACCTGAAAACAAGTAAGAGCAGGGACACCATAGCATTAGGAATACAGATTTGCATTCCTAATGCTATATAGTTCCTTTAAAAAGTTCAGTAAAAAGTGCCTCAAAAATAATGAGACTAAGTCAATATATATTTGTAAAGAATCAGTATGGATGCTAGGCATTTGTTTTAAATAGAACTATTGTTCACAGGGGGTGTAGCCAACTGCCGAGCTGCATGCACGCCTGGTAACTGAGCTCTGAGAGATTAAGTCAACTAAATTGGGGGCCTTGAAAAAATATTTCAGGGACAATAATGACTCCCATCCAAGCATGATGGCACCTGACTCGCCAGGTGCTGCCTCTCTGCCCTCAAGTCCAGGAGAATCAGTCAGCTCACTGCTACAATTAGACACAGATATAAAAAAATCCAAAAAAAATTTAACCCCCAACCAAGATGTAACAAATAAGCTGGAGGCTTCATTCCAATCCAAACTGGGAAAAAATTGGCACTGACATCCACCAGAGACGACGGAGACGCATTATACCTCCAGGTCCAGCACTTGAAGACCAATATTGAGACACATACATCTCACTTTTCTGCAGTCCAGAGATCCCTCGATGATATTGATAGTAGAGGGAAGCAGAACAACCTCTGCATCACTTGACTCCCAGAGAATGACTCAGAGAACTTACCTGGCATACGTCGGGAATGTCAGAATTATGTTGATCCAGCACACAGAATAGTATCACACCCTAGAACTAAGGGTTAGTAAGGCTTACCGGATCATAGAATGGTCGGACTTCTTACCGGACCTTAGAATGCTCAGACTTAACGTACCCGAGAATAGTCAGAAAACTAGCCGAGGTCAGGGACACAGAATGAGACACAGTGATAAGGAAAAGCCAAAAGTCAAGGGTACCAGAAATCAGGAAAGTCAAAACTAAGCCAAAGTCAAAAAACAGAAAAACACGATCAGGAACACACTCTTGGATAACCATCTAAGGGAAACCATGACAGGGCAACGAGCTAAGAAATAAGTGAGTTTAAATAACCCTCTTGCAGATCTGATTGGCTGTATCTAGCCTTGACCCCAAAACGTGTGTTTGATCTTTTGCGTGCCGTCACCCGCACGTCGACATCGTCTTTACCGTGGATACACGTGGGACTATATAATAGTGTGGGTCCGCAGTGGCTGGCATGCACCAACATAACGCACAGGTCAGGTATCATGACAGAAGACCGCCGAGCGGCACTCTCCTCGATCTTCGGAAGGTAATTATCTCAGTTTTTGCCAAATGGATACAAAGGATACGTGACATTACCCCCCACTTGAAGACCCACCATAGATGGACAGGACCAGGTTTGAGAGGAAATTTGGCATGGAAAGAACGGATTTTGCGGCTAGCATGTATATCAGAAGCAGGAACCCAAGAACGATCGGCAGGCCCATAATCCTTCCAATCAATCAGGTCCTGCAAAGAACCACGAGAAAATCTGGAATCAATTATGGAGGAGACTTCATACTCCTCCCATCCAGCAATAACCAAAGGTGGAGGTGGGACAAACGGGACAGTATACATATTTCAGATAAGAGGCTTAAGCAAAGCTACATTAAATGAATTAGGTATACGCAAGGAGGCAGGAAGTCCAAGAGAATATGAAACAGATTTGATTCATCAAACAATTCGAAAAGGACCAATAAACCTGGGTGCAAACTTTAGTCTAATATATCGCGAGAAGATATTCGATCACCCACCTGGTAAACAGGGTTGGCACCACCCCGCTTATCAGCATGAAATTTGAAACGAGCTGCAGCAGTTTCAAAAGCCGTGTGGACTTTATTCCAAGTCTCATGTATACATGCGAGATATCCATCCAGAGCAGTAATAGCAGTGTCAGAGAACACCGCAGGAAGAACAGTAGGATGACTACCGTTGTTGATAAAAAATGGACTATGTACAGATGAGTCATGGGTTGCATTATTCCTGGCAAATTCGGTCCAAGGTAGCAAGTCAGACCAGTTTTCCTGAGTGCCATTAATAAAACATTGCAAATATAGTTCCAATGACTGGTTGTCCCTCTCAGCTACACCATTAGTTTGAGGATGGTATGAAGATGAAAATAACAATTCTATACCCAACTGTTTGTTAAATGCTCTCCAAATCATGACACAAATTGGGAACCCTTGTCTGACACAATATTTTGTGGAATACCATGTAATCTGACAATTTTGCGTATAAATATATGAACCAGATCTTGGGAAGAAGGTAACTTTTTGAGCGGAACAAAGTGTGCAATTTTAGTATAGCAATCAACCACCATAATGATGGTGGTATAGCCTTTAGAAATCATGAGTTCCACATTGAAGTCCATAGACAATTGAAACCATGGAACCCTGGGGATAGGAAGGGGTTGTAATAACCCACATGGTAGTTTATGGGGAACCTTAGAAACCACTCAAACAGTACAAGCCTCCACATACGCTCTGATGTCCTTTCTAAGAGAAGGCCACCAAAATGATCTGGAGACAGCAGATACAGTTTTATTAATACCCGGATGTCCAGCTGTCACATTATTGTGGAACACTCTTAGTACCTCCTCTCTTTCTAGCAAGGGAAAAGACAATCTATCTTGAGGTTTATCACTAGGTACAATGATAGCACAAAGAAGAAGAGATAACAAGGAAAGGACAGTAGAGGCAATGATACACTCAGGTGGAACGATAGGGGAGGTCTCTTGTTCTTGTTCTGACAGTATGTCATATTGCCTAGATTGGGAATCACCCATAATGTTCCTAGGACCTGGTCTGTACGTGATGATAAAGTTAAAGCGTG